GTTTCGGATGAAAAGTGTGCCTAAAGAATAATCCTGTTACAGCCCGATCAGGGGTCTGGGAAATATCTGGGCAAGGCAAAAACAAAAAGCAAAACAAACAAACAACCCCCCGAAAACCCCACCGAACCTCCCTCCCACCGAACAACACACACACACACACACACACACACACACGCACACACACACAACTAACCAACTAATCAAGCAACCAACCAAACAAACTGCAAACTAGTGGGGCACATTTCTGTGAGTCCTGGTGGGAGTCAGGGCTCCCAGGCCCTAGAGAAGTGATCTACAGCAGCAATTTTCAAAAGATGTTCTGTGAGCGGATAGGACCCTTGAGATGCTCTACAGAAAAAGCGCTCTGCAGACAAATAAATTTGAGAAGTGCTGCATATTCCACTCCTCCATCGGAGATTCACTGTGCATGTTAGTCTATCAAAGCCATCGAAGACTCTCTGGTAAAGACAAATGACTATTTCCACTTTTCTAGTACTTCCCACCTTTGTTTGACCATGGACCTCTTCCCCACTCCCACTGCATTTATTAACATTTAATGAAAGTTCTGTTTCTTAGGAAACACTGGGAAACGCTGATACCTGAGGCATAGAGGCTAACAACCTAGGGAAGAGAGAATTTGCATACAGCAAAAGAGAAGAAAACGCTAAGTGAGAATCAGAGATCCCAGACTCCTGGCAGGGTGCCACCATCCTCTGGAGATCTTTCTACAGCAGGGGTCCCCACTCTATGGTGAGTTGTAATTATTTCATTATATATTACAATGTAGTAATAATAATAGAAATAAAGTGCACAATAAATGTAATGCACTTGAACCATCCCGAAACCATCCCCACTCCCTGGTCCATGGAAAAACTGTCTTCCATGATAACAGTCCCTGGTGGCCAAAAGGTTGGGGACCACTGTCCTACAAGGTCTGTGATGTCCCATCTAAAGCCGTCATTTGAATTCTCTCAATTTCCTCAGGATGGGAAAAGAACTGGCTCAGAAGTGAGTAACCATGGATTCCACTTTCCCCTTCACAGCTCGAGTGCCTCTGGACAATTAATTTCCAAATCTGATTCTTGCTTTTCACAGTTGTCAAATCAGAAACTTTAAAGAAATGATCTTGATTGTCCTTTCTAGGCCCAATTAGATGATTCTATCTCAACTGTTATAATGGAAGAAAATGGGATTTGCTTGACAAGAATTCTCTTCATGACCAACTTTTCTGGAATGCAAAATGATGTTTTAAAAAGAAATCTTATACTAAAATCGTATGTGAATAAGAGATTTTTTTCTTTTTCTTTTTCTTTTTTTTTTTTTTGAGACAGAGTACCGCTCTGTCACCCCGGGTAGAGTGCTGTGGCGTCATCATAGGTCACAACAACCTCAAACTCCTGGGCTCGAGTGATCTTCCTGCCTCAGTCTCCTGAGTAGCTGGGACTACAGGTGCATACCACCATGCCTGGCTAATTTTTCTATTTTTAGTGGAGACGGGGTCTCGCTCTTGCTCAGGCTGGTCTTGAATTCCTCAGCTCAAGCGATCCTGCCACTTTGGCCTCCCAGAGTGCTAGGATTACAGGTGTGAGCCACTGGGCCTGGCAGGTGATTCTTAATTTTCATTATTCTGGCCATTTTAATTGAAGATTGAGAGTCACAGGATATAAGCTAGCATCAACCAAGTTTTAGTACTGTACTTGCTGTCATTCCACAGTTTTTATAAAAAAAAAAAAAAGGTCCAGAAACTTCCACCAGCTAGATCTTTAATTAAAACCAAAGGGCATTTTAAAATTATTCTTTTAATTAATTGTGCTTCAGGTTGCACATTCTGTGACTACATTTTCTTGGTTATTAAACATAATTTTCATTTAAGAAAATCAAAATGTGGTTGAAATGACTGATTTAAATGAAGCTAATCTAAAAATACAGAGAAATACAATTGGACAAAGTTTTTTGCAAAAGTGTCTATTATGCATATGTCAGTATTTTCCTTTAATAGAGAATAAAATTAAATTAATTAGAGGGAGCAAGAACTTATAATTGCCAGGGAAGCTAAACCATTGATCTGATGCCATGTATTGCTGACAGTTGTTTTTCCATAATTCCCATTAACTGGGCTCTGTAATTAAATAATTTAGAGACTGATGCCTTAAATTCACTTGTAAGTTGCATTCTGATTATATGAAACAAAAAACTGTTTGAATTACTCCCAAAATTGATACCCCATTATCTTAAGATGTATTTTTGTATTGAATCAATCTATTTTTTAGTGTTCATTAACAATAGTTCCAGATATAAATGTTTGGCACACATTTAATTAGAAAAGTAGAAATTAAGGTCTGGAAAATGGAAACTAATACTATAGACTCTTCCCCACAGGCACATATGCCATTAGGCAAAGCTGCTGCCCTCTCATCATGTTGAATCTAATCTACAGCAGGCTTCTCAGCCTTGACTGCACATTAGCACGGCTAAGGGAAGTTTTAAGAATTCCTGGTGCCCAGGCTGCATCTGAGACAAATCAAATCAGACTCTCTGGATGTGGAACCTAGACATCAGTACTTTTATAAACTTCCCAGAGGGTTCTTATGTGCAGCAAAATTTGATAACCAGTGAAGAAGTATAGCCCAGTTAATGAATTTCCAGGTAAACTGGATATACTCTTTGGTTTAAAATTGGCAGTAGGAAGCACATCCATTTCTATTTTTCAACTTTTCTATAGAAATCTCAACAGAAATGAAGCTACCCACTTTAAAAAAAGGCAAATAAAATGTAGAAAGGGGATAATGAGACCTTGTGGTAGACACTTTTGGAATTGTGCTCACACGGACTCCTTAACTGCCTTCCTCCCTCATCCACGGAAGAGGGTGCTGGTGCCCATCGGACCAAACTGGGCCAACTGAAACTCCAACTCTGGGATTTTTGAATTGAAATTGAGAGTTACTATTTCTGTGTAGTTGGATGTATGGGCTGTGGAGTAGCTGAATGTTCTGGCAGGTTGACTAAGTAGCTGAGAAAGTTATGGGAAGTGGGTGGAGAGAGAAGAGGAGAGAGAGAAGAGAGGGCAAAATGAATCAGAGATGAGCGACAGAGAACGACACTTCCAGACTCCCAGGACAGACATCTGTTGTTTTTGCCTGCCTGGCATCTCTGCCCGTTTTGTTAACAGTGCCCTCTTCTCCTTCAGGGACTCTCTCATCCCCATTCCATGTGCTCTTGGGGATGACTGACAAGTCAAGCCTACTAGCCTCTTGCTCCTTCAGCAGAAACCCAAGGCAGAAAAAATGGTGGTGTTTTTTTGGAGACCATCATCATGAGAAACTGTTAGCTGCTGCTATAGGGATCCCTGGAGGTGCCCTGATTCCTGTGTCTCCTGGAGCTTGACTGTTCGGCAAGTCTTTGAATTCTGAGATCAAGGCTGTCCGTTGCTTGCAATTTAAGAATGCCAACAGAATTCTCTATAGTCCTCTAGGTCCCAGCTAGAATTTATTCGGAGGCCTTATAGCATTCTGTTTTGGGGTTCATGAGGGTCTCTTGCATCCTTATTTTTTTCTTAATATATCTCACGAGGTTTTTGATATTTGTAATGACAAGTCTTAACTAATATAAACTTCTAATTGACTCCTTTATTTATAGGGATGGTCCTGAGACTACTTAAAGCAGGAACAAGGCCTTCTAAGCCCTACTCCAAATCAAGATACTCCAACTCTTTTATCATTCTGCATGCTTTGCAAAGCCTCATTTATTCATTTTCATTTTGTAAGTATAAAGATTTTGGAGAAAAATCCATAATGAAGGAATACTTTATGAACAACAGGATTAAAAGCTTATCAAACACAAACATGGCTCTAAATAATGTATGATCCTTTGAATAAGAGTCCAAATCTACTCCTGAAAAAAAGAGCTCTTGGCTCCTCTATCAAGCACCATTAAATGAAATTACAGTCCTACCATTAAATCCAACTGTACACCAATAATTTTTCATTTCCATTGGTACTCTTCTTTATTAAAAAATCTTTATTAAATAACAAAATATGCCAACTAATATAATAAGTACTTCCTCGAGCTCAATATTAATATAGTTGGCACACAACTCAAGGCTGTCTATCTGAATGCAGGAGGCACATGATTTTTCCCTTGCGATACAGCAAGCAGAGTTACACTGACATAACCTTAAAAACCAGGGAAAGCCTCCAAGATTTCTCCAGGCCCAAGTCACAAAAGTGGTAAGGTGTAGGGGATGGGTGACTTCTTGTTAAATCTGGGGTATAAGATGTGGACTATATTATTAGATTCATAGATAATTGGTAAAAGATTAAAAAAGAGAGAAATGTATAGCATTAAGCAGCTTAAGTGATTAACAATGTTGTGATCTTTGGCAAACTCTGGTTGAACTATAATGAAATGGAAATAGTGGGGCCATTGCTAATAAAATGTGACCATAAAATCTGAACAGTTCACAATGTCTTCTTTTCTCAGAGTCTAAGGAAAGGGAAATATCATTTAGGAATATTCTGGTAAAGAAAGTGGAGTGAATAAAAAGAAGCAGTTTAAAAGGTATTCTGACCATCATACTTTATTTTTAATACAAATATGTCATAAAATAAAAGGTACTCAGACATCTTTTAAACAAGAATATGTTTTCTGTATATCAAGCCATCATTTACAGATTAACACTGCAAAAAATTTGTATTAATAACTCTTAATTCATTTGCATGAAATTATATGAAATAAACAAAATTATATGTAGGATGAGAACAAATACGAACCAATTCCAAGTCCTAAAATCTTGTCTCTGTATTAATTCTTCAGTTTCAAAATCACACACATCTATAAAAAATGTAGATATTCTTAGCATTGCATATTATTCACTAAATGAATTCATTTCTCTCAGTGACTGTTGATTCCGTGGGCCTGCCCAGCACACAAGTTGCGGTGACTCTGAACTGCTATGCTGCTCCGACTGTGGGTAGCCATTCTGTCCTGGAAGGAGGGATCGATTATACCAACTCATAGTATTTCCCAGTCTGGGGGTCAAAGTAACAGTTCAGACATGGGTCATACAACAGAGTCAGCACTTCCTCGTCCTCTTCCACACTCAGGTCTTCTTCACCTGTGGGCAAGGGGAACCACAGACACATTAGCAGCTGGCCAGCCCCGGAATTCCAAAACTGTAACACCAGAAGGGCAATGAAGCAGGAAGGGCCATCTCTCCTGGGGGATTTTCTTTATTTGGGTAGAATGTTTAGGCTGCAACAGAGGAGCATTGTGGAAGGGATGTGCCTCTGCATAGGCAGTGTAAGATAGAGAAGAAACAGCGATCAGAAGGGCCAGCTTCATGATAAAGGAAAGAAAACCGAGTGTGCAGAATTAGCAGGGAGGGGAAAGAAGAAAGGGAGAGGGCCAAAAGCCCAAGAGGTATGCCCACTAGGGTTAGGAAGCTTGGGCAGGATTCAAAACTTAATGATCATAGTTTTAAACTTCTTCATGGGCCAGAGCTGTACAAAATGCAAAACAGCACAAATTAAATAATAAAATAGAGAACTCGATCCCCATTCGTACATCCTAAAAGGGCTACCAAACAAATCTGAATTAAAATAATAGGACTTTAAAGTACAAAAAGCAGAGAACACATATAGAAAACAAAATGTCAGGTGGTCTATAGTTTTATTAGTGGTAGGAAGGTCTGCCAAGTTTGCTGGGGATATGAACATGGCTTGATGCTTTTTTTTCTTGTGACATTCGTTTAGATGGCTTGGATGGAGAGAACCAGTCATTATTAAGGCTTGGTTGGTTTCCAACAAATGGCATGAAATGAAAAAAAAACTGTTTTACGAAGATGTTTCCCAGTACCTTTTATGTGCCCAGTGTTGTGCTAAGTACTTTAGTATTTGGAAGTTCTGAGTACTTCTGAAAGTCCATGTAATGAGTTCAGAGCCTGAAATGCCAAGACCTCCCCAGCCAGAGATCAGAGCAGGCTCGAGGAGAAAGGGGTGATTGAGCCAACACCCCTCTCTGTCTTCTTTAGCACAGGCCATTAAGGACCAAAAAAAACTGAGCCTCTGGGCTGTGAGCTCACCAGCATAAGCTTCAGAAGGGCTTGGATGGTGGGCACAGAACAGGGCTCACCCATAATAGAGGCTCAGTAAAAACAAAGTGTCTCTTGAAGGTGTGAATAAAAGCCCATGGTCTTAAGTGCCACTGCCCAGAGTAAGGGAAGTGGTGGTGGTGGTGGAGGTGGTATTCCATCTTACCCAGCCCAAATCCGACCAAACTGGTACATGGACACTGCCAGGACATTGACAAACTGCAGTTAAGTCCAAGGATGCCCAGACGGTGAAGTGGGGGTTTCATACAGTACCACAGCCTTTCCTCTGCCCACTCTTCTTCTAACTATCCAAAATACATTTAACACAATCCTTCCACAAGCCAGGCACTGAGCTAGCTGCTGGGGACATAATGATTATAAGAAAGAAACAGGCCCTGTTCTCACGGAGTGTGCAGAGAAGGGGGCAAAACGTGAAATCAGCAGATGTTAGTGAGCTGAGCGCAGTGCTAGCAATCCTTAAAAGGTGGAGTTTAACCGAGGAATGATTATGTCTGCCTTGCCTGCTAACCCCTCAACTGGCAGAGCCCTTGAGGGTTTAGAAAGCACTTTCTTATGCAGTAGCTCATCTGACCCTCATTGACCCTGTAAAATAGGCAGAAATTATCAGGTCCATTTTCCTGATGAGGAAACCAGGGTCTGCAAAGTTAAATAGCTCGTCTGAGGTCACTCAGTGAGTTAGAGGCAGAGTTGGGGAAAAACTCTCGATTTTCAGACTGCCAATCAGTTCAGTGTTCTTCCTGCCATACTGTGCTTGATGTTTCTATTAAGAGGGTGGTGTAACACATTTAACTGGGAGCTATTACATTAAATGAATTTAAACACAGGAAAGACTAATAATAAATTTAAAAGTGTCTGACATTTAAAAAAAAATCAGGTTTGGAACCAAGAAATCTGACTTCTCATAGTTAAAAAACTATTGGCAAAGATGAAAGAGTCCATGTGTGAGGGCAGAAGGAAACAGCTCAACAGGCCCAAGGGAACCTGGCTGGTTAACTCCAGAAAAGTAAAAGCTTGATGGAGGTGACAGGCAGTCCTTCTGGCTTCAAGTATATGACGGGTGGCATATGAGTGAGAAGTGAAGATCTGAGGGTTCCAGGAGGAAGCAATAGGACCAACAGGTGGAAGCTAAGGGGAGGCCATTTTTTGGCTCAGCACAAGGAAGAATTTTCTAAGCATTACATCTGACCAGCAAATGAAACATGTACTCTAGGGAGACTAAAGCAGAGACTGGGCAGCCATTTGTGCGGAATTTTGTAGATGAACCCTGCATAGGACAGGGCACCAGATCCACTGATCCCTGTGGTGCTTTTGATGAGCTTCTGTGACTCTTGGCTGCACTGGTTTATATCCTTTGAAGTATGACAGGACTTTGCTAACGACCACATTAATAGTGGTAGCTGACCCGAGCACCCTGCACAGTTCTAATTAAGAACAGGAAGTCAGAGAAGGAAGGCTGCCTTTCCTCTATTTTCTTCTGTTACCGTGTGGGAATGGTCCCCAAGGCCCTGCCTCCATCCTTCTTCTTCTAAGTAGGAGAGGATGGAAATGCTCTTCAAATGGTCTTTCCATATTGAAGATGATCCCTTTAGGTTGCTTCTGCACATCAAAGGAGAGTGTGCATGTCCTTTACTTTCACATATTCAATCCATCATCCCTTTAATATTTGGGCTACTTCAGAGAACCGAACAAAATCAGTTTATCAATAAATATCTACTGTGCGCCTGCTATGTGACTGAGTCTAGCTGTGAATGTGACACACACATGGAAGATGTGTGTGAAAGCTACTAAAGATTAATGAGAAGTTAAACTGGGAGTTGCTACTGCAGAGTCACCAGGAGCAATTACAGGCTCTAGAATCCAGCACTCCTGGGGATGAATGGGCACCCTGCTGTTTACTACCTGGGTGACTGTAGGCTGGCTGCAGGTTATTTCACCTCTCTGGACCTTGGTTTCCTGGTTTATAAAATGAGAATAACATGGCCAGGCATGGTGGCTCATGCCTGTAATCCCAGCATTTTGGGTGGCCAAAGTGGGGGCATTGCTTGAGGCAAGGAGTCCAAGATCAGCCTGGGCAACGCAGCAAGACCCTGTCTCTACCAAAAAAAAGGAGGGGAGGGATAAAAATGCCTATTTCACAGGGTTTTGTGGAAGATTAAGCTGGACACTGTAATATGCATAACACAGCATAATAATGTTTAATAAATGATAGTTGCTATTACTATTAAGGATAAGCATTATAAAATAAATCATGAACTATAGGCTATAACTTTTTAGTAATTCAGAACATAAGTACTGATATAAAGTATGAAGAAAAGTCTTCATAGAGGCAGGAAGTATGACATTCAGACAATGGAGTCAGATGGACCTGGTTCCAAATCCCATTTCTACCACATCGCAGCTGTGGGACATTGGGAAAATTCACTGCTCTGGGCCTCAGTTTCCTCATATGTAAAGTAAGAGTAATAATTGTATCTGTCATTGTTCCTATGAGGACTAAATACGATAATACTCAGCACATATACAGTGAATGCTCAGTAAATGTTGTCATTATAATCATCATCGTGGAAACATAGGATATCTGAGTTAGACATAGCAAGGGTATGTTCATTTATACCTTATTCCCGACCCCCAAACTATATGTTTGATTTTTTTTTACCAAAAGAAAAAAATAGTGGATTTGAATGAAATAAAAAACCCTCAACTAGTTTTATATAGGACATTACAATGAATTCATCTTTAAATCAAACAGTTCTTATGCCAAAAATCATCTATGTTCCAAAAAGTAAAACTAATTTTTCCAACAGGTGTAACGTCAACAATCAGATATTGTTGAGGTAAATGACTACATGTTAAACTCTCACAGGGATCTGCCATTTGATTTCTGGTCTTTACTTCATAAACATATCGGGGGAAACTGATCACTGGCACATAAGAGCTATGTGCTATATAATTGTTTAATGCATTCTGCACCTGCACATTCCCCAAAGATAAGTTTTAATCTGGTGCTATTAAATTAGAAACCGTAATATATTTTACAACCAGTCAGGATCTTTCCAGATGAAAATAGCTGTTGTAATGGGCTGTGGGACTTTATCACCTAACTGCGTAGGGATTGAGGTAGATCCGATTCATTAGTAGAGGTCTTGCTACATAATGCATACAAACTGCAGCAATAAATGCTATATAAATGCATTCGTTCCAACACATATCACTGTAGAACTGGAACCCTATGCATTATAACCATGGGGACTAAGACAGATTTTGTGATCTTTAGCACCAAAGCTTTAAATGGGTGAATTTTAAAACAACGAACAAAGACATTCATACAAAAATTGGGTGAGATTATGTATAATTTTATGTTGAAATAAGTGCCTTAAACTTACATAAAAGGTTTTGTTTTCATTGTAACTTAATTTCCAAAGCCTCTAACTTACAGCATTTTGCTATTGTAATCCCTATGTAATGAAATTATAACATCATTAAGCAATTACCACTATGATGTCAAGCATTGGGAAATGTTTTGAAAGGTAATTATCATGCATGGGTATGGGGTAATTTTCAATTATATTCTTGGATAGAACAGAGTTTGTTTTTCCTCAAAATGCTAAATTGCTCGATTCAAAGACTGGCTACAGAAACTCTAGAAGGACAAATTAACAAATAAAACCATTTTCTGCTACCAGACTAAGAGCATCTGCACAGGGGTCCAAATTACATTTTTACTCTTCTTCACATAATAAAGCCATTTCTAGTGAAATAAAATTACCTTTCAGATGATAATCTATTTACAAACTTTTCGCCTCATCCACTTTGAAACTGGTTATCAGCAATAACAGAAGAGAAACCAATGGAGCCAGACCAAACACAGCAATACTGGCTGCTCTCCTCTTGGTTAGATCAGCTCGGGTAAATAATCACTCCAGTTCACCTTATGAAAGTCAATTGATATAAATGTTTAATTATCTACATTTAATGCATTTTTACTGTATGTAATAGAAAACCTA